CCCCCAGCACAGAGCCCCCCCAGACACAGAGCCCCTCCCCCAGCACAGAGCCCCTCCCCCTGACACAGAGCCCCTCCCACTGACACAGAGCCCCTCCCACTGCCACAGAGCCCCTCCCCTGCCACAGAGCCCGACCCCCTGCCACAGAGCCCACCCCCTGCCACAGAGCCCCTCCCCCTGCCACAGAGCCCCTCCCCCTGCCACAGAGTCCCACCTCCACCAGAGTACCACCCAGTCACAAGTCCCACCCCTGCTACAAGGCCCTCCCCCAGCACAGAGTCCCACCCCCTGCCACACGGTCCCTCCCCTGGTAATGCTCCACCCCCTGTCACGGGGCCACACCCCATCACAGGGCCAGGCCACACCCCCGGTCACAGGGCCGCACCCCCAGTCACAGGGCCGCACCCCCAGTCACAGGGCCGCACCCCCAGTCACAGGGCCGCACCCCCAGTCACAGGGCCACATCCCCTGCACAGAGTCCAACCCCCTGCCACACTGTCCCTCCCCTGCGTCACAGTATTGCTGTACGTGCTGTCTCTGTGTGTATTGCTGTAGGTGCTGTGTCTGTGTGTATTGCTGTAGGTGCTGTGTCTCTGTGTGTATTGCTGTAGGTACTGTCTCTGTGTGTATTGCTGTAGGTGCTGTGTCTCTGTGTGTATTGCTGTAGGTGCGGTGTCTCTCTGTGTGTATTGCTGTAGGTGCTGTCTCTCTGTGTGTATTGCTGTAGGTGTTGTCTCTGTGTGTATTGCTGTAGGTGCTGTGTCTCTGTGTGTATTGTTGTAGGTGCGGTGTCTTTCTGTGTGTATTGCTGTAGGTGCTGTGTCTCTGTGTGTATTGCTGTAGGTGCTGTCTCTCTGTGTGTATTGCTGTAGGTGTTGTCTCTGTGTGTATTGCTGTAGGTGCTGTGTCTCTGTGTGTATTGCTGTAGGTGCGGTGTCTTTCTGTGTGTATTGCTGTAGGTGTGTCTCTGTGTGTATTGCTGTACGTCGGTGTCTCTGTGTGTGTATTGGTGTAGGTGCTGTGTCTCTCTGTGTGTATTGCTGTACGTGCGGTGTCTCTGTGTGTGCATTGCTGTAGGTACTGTGTCTCTGTGTGTGTATTGTTGTAGGTGCTGTGTCTCTGTGTGTGTATTGCTGTAGGTGCGGTGTCTCTGTGTGTGTATTGCTGTAGGTGCTGTGTCTCTGTGTGTATTGCTGTACGTGCGGTGTCTCTGTGTGTGTATTGCTGTAGGTGCGGTGTCTCTGTGTGTGTATTGGTGTAGGTGCTGTGTCTCTCTGTGTGTATTGCTGTACGTGCGGTGTCTCTGTGTGTATTGCTGTAGGTGCTGTGTCTCTGTGTGTATTGCTGTAGGTGCTGTGTCTCTGTGTGTATTGCTGTAGGTGCTGTCTCTGTGTGTATTGCTGTAGGTGCTGTGTCTCTGTGTGTATTGCTGTAGGTGCTGTGTCTCTGTGTGTATTGCTGTAGGTGTTGTCTCTGTGTGTATTGCTGTAGGTGCTGTCTCTGTGTGTATTGCTGTAGGTGCTGTCTCTGTGTGTATTGCTGTAGGTGCTGTGTCTCTGTGTGTATTGCTGTAGGTACTGTCTCTGTGTGTATTGCTGTAGGTGCTGTGTCTCTGTGTGTATTGCTGTAGGTGCGGTGTCTCTCTGTGTGTATTGCTGTAGGTGCTGTCTCTCTGTGTGTATTGCTGTAGGTGTTGTCTCTGTGTGTATTGTTGTAGGTGCTGTGTCTCTGTGTGTATTGTTGTAGGTGCTGTCTCTGTGTGTATTGCTGTAGGTGCGGTGTCTTTCTGTGTGTATTGCTGTAGGTGCTGTGTCTCTGTGTGTATTGCTGTACGTGCGGTGTCTCTGTGTGTGTATTGGTGTAGGTGCTGTGTCTCTCTGTGTGTATTGCTGTACGTGCGGTGTCTCTGTGTGTGCATTGCTGTAGGTACTGTGTCTCTGTGTGTGTATTGTTGTAGGTGCTGTGTCTCTGTGTGTGTATTGCTGTAGGTGCGGTGTCTCTGTGTGTGTATTGCTGTAGGTGCTGTGTCTCTGTGTGTATTGCTGTACGTGCGGTGTCTCTGTGTGTGTATTGCTGTAGGTGCGGTGTCTCTGTGTGTGTATTGGTGTAGGTGCTGTGTCTCTCTGTGTGTATTGCTGTACGTGCGGTGTCTCTGTGTATTACTGTAGGTGCTGTCTCTGTATTGCTGTAGGTGCTGTCTCTGTGTGTATTGCTGTCGGTGCTGTGTCTCTGTGTCTATTGCTGTAGGTGTTGTTTGTGTGTATTGCTGTAGGCGCTGTCGCTGTGTCTATTGCTGTAGGTGATGTCTCTCTGTGTATTGCTGAAGGTGCTGTCGCTGTGTGTTTTGCTGTAGATGCTCTGTCTGTGTGTATTGCTGTAGGTGCTGTGTCTGTGTGTATTGCTGTAGGTGCTGTCTCTGTGTGTATTGCTGTAGGTGCTGTGTCTGTGTGTATTGCTGTAGGTGCTGTGTCTGTGTGTATTGCTGTAGGTGCTGTGTCTGTGTATTGCTGTAGGTGCTGTGTCTGTGTGTATTGCTGTAGGTGCTGTGTCTGTGTATTGCTGTAGGTGCTGTGTCTGTGTGTATTGCTGTAGGTGCTGTGTCTGTGTGTATTGCTGTAGGCTCTGTGTCTGTGTGTATTGCTGTAGGTGCTGTGTCTGTGTGTATTGCTGTAGGTTGCGTAGTGTGTCTGTGTGTATTGCTGTAGGTGCTGTGTCTGTGTGTATTGCTGTAGGTGCTGTGTCTGTGTGTATTGCTGTAGGTGCTGTGTCTGTGTGTATTGCTGTAGGTGCTGTGTCTGTGTGTATTGCTGTAGGCGCTGTGTCTGTGTGTATTGCTGTAGGTGCTGTGTCTTGGTGTATTGCTGTAGGTGCTGTGTCTGTGTGTATTGCTGTAGGTGCTGTGTCTCTCTGTGTATATCTCCATCCTCCCTTCCCCTCTCCAAGGTTCTGGAATGAGTTGTTCATTCCCAACTTCGCTCCTTCCTCTCCCGCCCCTCCCTTCTCGAACCCCTCCAGTCGGGTTTCCGTGCCGCCCCCGGCACAGACACCGCCTGGTCAAAGTGACCAATAACATTCTGGCCATCTGCGACCAGGACTCCCTCTGCCTCCTCATCCTCCGTGACCTTCGACACCGTTGACTACTGTCATCCTCCTCCACCGCCTCTCCTCTCACCTCAGCCTTCACGTCTCTGTCCTTAACTGATTCAGATCGGACCTCTCACACCGCCTCCACTTCATCTCCACAATGGTTTCTCCTCTATAGTCCCCGCACCGTCTCGTGCGATGCTCCTCAGGGCTCTGTCCTTGGTCCCCTCCTCTTCAATATCTATACGCTCCCTCTTGGTGACATCATCCGCAAACATGGGGTCAACTCCCACATGTATGACACCCAACTCTCCCTCTCTGCCTCCGCCCTCGACTCCAGGACCACTGCTGTCCTGACACAATGTCTGTCAGACGTCAAGTCCTGGATGAGAGCGAACTTTCTTCAGCTGATCGTCAACAAGACCGAGGCCCTCCTGATTGGCTCCGGTCAGCGCCTCCTCACCTCAGGCGCTGACAGCATCACCGTCCATGGTCGCCCACTCCCCCTCACTGAGCCAGTCCAGAACCTTGGGGTCTTGTTTGACCCTCAACTATCCTTTCTACCCCACATCTGCTCCATGACCCACTCTGCTTTCCCCCACCTCTGCAATGTCGCCCGGCTCCAACACTGCCTCACACCGCAGGCCCCCGAGACCCTCACACACTCCTTCATTACATCGAGGCTCAACTATGAAAACTCATTGTTTGTCGGCTTTCCCAACTCCTCCCTCCCATGGCTGCAGGTCATCCACAACTCTGCAGCCCGTGTCCTCTCCCGCCCCGGGCTCCACGACCCTATCACCCCCATCCTCGCCCGACTCCACTGGTTTCCCATCACACAGAGGATACAGTTCAATCCTGGTCCTCATCTTTGAAACCCTCCATGGTCTTGGTGGTGTAGGTGCTGTGTCTCTGTGTGCATTGCTGTCGGTGCTGTGTCTCTGTGTGTATTGCTGTAGGTGCTGTCTCTGTGTATATTGCTGTAGGTGCTGTCTCTGCTTGTGTTACTGTAGTTGCTGTGTCTATGTGTATTGCTGTAGGTGCCGCGTCTGTATGTGTTGCTGTAGGTGCTGTCTCTCTGTGTGTATTGCTGTCGGTGCTGTGTGTATTGTTGGTGATGTGTATTACTGTAGTTGCAGTCTCTGTGTATCGCTGAAGCTGGTGTGTCTCTG